TAACCATTATTTAAGGAAAAGGTTAGAGAGAGAGAGAGAGAGAGAGAGAGAGAGAGAGAGAGAGAGAGAGAGAGAGAGAGAGAGTATAAAAGACAGTCATTACTCTACAGTAAAAATGGTGTGTTTCTAAATTATTAATAATACTGTGTGTGTCGAAAAAACGTCGAGTAACTATTTGTAGATGTAGTCAATTATAGATATAAATATCGCAGACCGAAGTTTTTCACCTGTAAAATACATTGTAAAGGCAACGTTGTTGTTGGTGTCTCCATACAAAAATCCTTTGACCTACTATACTACTTACTCACATCCAGGTCAGGTATGACGTCATACTCGAAAGGTGATTATATATTCATAGTTTATTCGAAGGAAGGTGGTGTAAATTATAGTTTTAGGGTTTAGCGTTATTTAGACAAGCGCACAGAAATATTCTGGCAATAATAGTAAACACTTAAACAAGCTTTCAAACCCAGTCTTTCGTACACTGATTCACATGCACGTGCAAATAGTTATGTACTATCTTGTTATTTGTATACGTGAGCGCACACGACTTTTGCAACACAGCTGCCATTGTAAAAAAAACAAGACAAATTTATTCCTGCGAGATGAAAAACTTAAAAACTTGATGGCCATTATTATTGCATTTTCATTGTCACCAGCAGTAAGCCCGTAGGTGCCCTATGTATCATGCTAAACAGTGGTGTGAGTGGCTATTGTTCTAATACCAAACGGCACAACCTTGAATTTGGCTTGTACTTGGATATGGAGTTTTGAGGGCTCTCCATCTACTTGACTAGGTCCTATCGGAAAAAGACGTTAAATTCAGAGGTCCTACTTCTTATTAATATAATGTTACAGTGTTGGAAGAGACGTTAAAGGTATACACCTATACACACTCATGGACGTTCATACGAACACTTTCAAATTCATATACACAAATCAACCGAAAAAACAACATGAGTTTTAATTTTGATACTATTCCACACACAAACTCCTAACCACACTGATTTTAACTCACGCATGGCATGTTATGTAAAATTAAATGTTTCAGTACAACAAAACTGCACATCATTCAAGCAATCAAAACGCATGGCGGAAAGATGTATTTGTAGCAAAAATTAGTGAGAATAAATCTGACGCCATTACTGTTTACAAAACAACTAAGGCATGCCTCTAGAACCCAGTTGGTATCTGGCTGGACTATGATGCAGATGATCGTGGTTCGAATCAACTATTTAGCGTTCCTTGATGTGGATTGATTTTGGAGTTTTCAAGTCAATCCACTGTCTTAGCTCGATCCTGCTGGAGAGTACGTTCACTTTAGAGGCCATTCATTCTATTGTCTAAGAGTATTGACATGGAAGGTGAACCAATACCCCGCATGCTACAATCACAAACCAACAGGATCTTGTTAAGTGGATGCTGAAGTCATGAATAATGCTCCCGAACAAGCCCCAAAGAAGAAATGTTGAATAAAGTTATCTAAAACACTGGAAATCGCTATTTTAAACCATGAGAAATGATTTAATAGAAATGTTCTATTTTTAGCGATATTTAAACAAACAAACCTACTAAGCATCACAACAACAAAAGAGCAACAGAAAAGCAGAAGACGTTTATAAGAGCAACAATTACAAAATTGCGTTAATTTCTTTTCACCCTGTTAAATGAGGTCGTTTTGCATGACGGAGCCCTTATTTCAGCCTCTCTTCCATTCCCTAGATTTGTGCTGCACTTGAATCCCTCCTCCCAC